ATAGAATTTTTTTCAAAGAAAAGGCTTCATTCATTATAGAAAATTATGCTTGAACAACCAACGAGATGAAATTATGCTTTAGCGATAAGTCAGTAGCGAAATAGCGATGCAGGAATCCATTCAGTTATGTTTGCCTTTTTTTATATAAATTATAATAATGATCTGAAATAGTTATTTACACTTATGCTTCCATTTAGTTATGTTTAGCCTTTGCTTTACATAAATTATAATAATAAAAAAGTATTATATGAAATTAATCTTTCATCTAAATTAAAACACAGGGTTCATACGGTCCTTAAGAGTCCTTAAAAGTCCTTAGATTTTTTGGAATCAATTTTTGGTCCTTAAAAGTCCTTAATTTTGGCCAAAATCAGCAGAAGGTCCTTAATTTTAATCATCTGAAATTTCTGTCTGTTTTCACGACTGTCATTTTGAGTGTGAATTAGCATTTTGAGGAATATTTTTGGCGATTCACTGCCGTATATATGGTTATCTTTTGAATGGGTTCATGAGTTATAATTTGTTTCTATTTCTAGTATAAATGATGGGATACTCGAGTTTCTAAGCAAGAAGTGAAACATAATCATTTCGAAATTCATTTATTCTAGTAAAGAGCTCTTAAACAACTTTTCACTTTTGGGGATGTGAATTCTTTTATTAAACGGTTCTAAATTTGGCGACTTTTCAACATTTTGGCGATTTTAAGATTAGTTTCTATAGAAACTTTTTAATTCCGAGATCTGAGAATTTTTCGATGATTTTTTTTTAAAACATCGTAACATTAATAAATTTCATTAAAATAATGGTAATATATTGAAATTATATTTAAAAAATAACATTAAAATGAAACCTTTTTATTTTTTGCTGTAATATTATAAAGTTTCATTTTGACAACTTTATTATACAATATTTTTAATCTGATAAATCTTACAAGGTATAATAATGCTATAAAGCACAATTTTTGAAAGACCTCTTAGCAAAAGCAAAATTAGCTATGTAATTAATTAAAAATGTCTTGTTTTTAATTTTTTCATAGTAAGAGTTTTTCCCATGTAATTGTCTCAGAATATTCAAAATTCTCAGAATGTGCATCAGTTTTCTCCATAAAATTGTTTTATACTTTTTCCCTCCTATTGTTTCCCAAAATATTTCTGGCTTTTTGCTGTTGCAGAATTGGTAGGGATAATTTTCTTTAGGATTTTACACATTGCAACTTGGAAAGTTTAGAAGGATTTGAAGGCAAGATTTATAGACCCACGATTCTAGAAGATTCGAGAAATATATGACAAAATGAAAAATGGCTCCATGGTATCAACACGTAATGGATGTATTTTATAGAAATTTTGCAATGAATTTCTTAACTTTTGGAGAACATCTGGAAGAACAATGAAAATATATTTGAATGTATTACTTCTGATACTAGAATCTTAACATGTTTATCTTCTCTTTATTTTCTCTACTTTTCACTACACAGAAGCATGGAAAATATCAAAAATGCTTCTGAGCTTATCACATGGGCAGGCATTATAGAAGGGGATTTTTTTTATTAATAAAGAAATTGAAAACTTACAATTTAAAAGATTCATCTAATATTTCTTAATGCATCATGCACATAGCTGGCACTAGGCATTTTCCCACCTGATGCAATCTCTGTGGATCCTAAATTCTACTGCCTAGTGCCTTTCTAAATTCTGCTTCTAATGCTTGCTCTAAATTCCAAAAGTTTTGCCATTTCTAGATTTTGTAGTTTTGTGTGTCACTAAATTCTAGAACTTCTGTCACATCAGCTCTAACTGAACTTTACTATATATATATTTCATATTGCTTCTGAATGTTCCTATTACTAAAGAAATAAAATTAGCCACTTTTTCTGTACATTCTAATTGCATTTAGTGTTTTTAGAATAACAGAAATCCTTAATTAAATCCAAAAATTCTAAAATGAAAAGGAAATGTGTTGAGGAAAGAAACTGAATACATAAAGGAAATTATTCTTCAAAGATATGTGCAGTTATTATTATGTAAATTATCCAATTGTTTATGATTTCAACCTTTACTATAATTCCCCCATTTCTATTTCCTCATATGATAGAGTTATTGAACCAGATTAAATTAAAATTAAATAGTATAATCTTTGATCACTAGTCCACATTATTAGTTTGAATTTGACTGTTCTTGTTTAATTACGTCACCATGAGCTGTAATTGATTTTGTTAGCATCAGAACATGCCTTTATGTTCTAAGCTCTTTTTAAATAAGAGGCTTATTTAAACCTTTATCTGGTATTAGTTAATAACAGACAGAGCGATAATATGCTTCACACCTTTCGGGAGTTTTGCACTATTTAACTTTTACCAGATCAATTAAACCCTCATAGGTACATTGTAGTGAGTTTGTCAAGTTAGGAGATAAAGACACAGAAACTAGCGAGAGCATTGATTTGCATATTGAGACAAATCTCGAATTGTTAGAAAAGATGCTTAAAGAGAAGGAAATCGATATAAACTAGCCAAAATGTCTGGGAAGGTTCAAATTAAAATGACGAATAAATATTTTTTTGACTGTTGTTACAAAACGTAAATGTTTTGTAGCTTTTAATGCGTAATTATCTTAATATCGTTTAAGAATCTGTGTCATAAATTACAGATACTTTAAACTGAAATTTTATTAGATTTTGATTTTAATAGGGCTTTTTTTAACAAATATTGTTAACAAATAAAATTTAATAGTGGTCATGTAAATCCATAATGACTAAGGTTATCAAACTACCTAATTTAATTATTTATAACTAGTTGCATACCCTTAAAAATTATCTCTACATATTAAAGCGAGTTATTGCCTTTCATTAATACTTACTGTGGTCACAAGATAAAATATAAAAATGTAAAAATTCAAGTAAAACATATTCTATGCATCTACTTAGACTTAAGATAATACAAAACATATTATTACCTCTGGTGCTTTAATGGCTTTTTGGAACCTTAAAGTATATTAACTGGGTTACAACCCCTGGAACTGTACACGAAGCTACAACAATAACTGCATCAAACAACTTAACTAACTTTCAACACTTGCCAACCTTGCCTTCATCAGGCCTTTCAGGTTTGTTCTAATCAGCAGGTCTCTCTCTAGACAAGCAGCAGCTATGATAACATTCAGTCTTTTGTTATGAATGATGCTGATTATGATATTATTTCTCATTTTAACCTATGCAGTTTGACATAAAATCTACCTGCTTATTTACTAAACCTCTAGACTGACCAAGTATGTGACAAAATGAGACATAAAAAAAAAAAAAAAAAAAAAAAAAAAAAAAAAAAAAAAAAAAAAAAAAAAAAAAAAAAAAACTAACTTTTAGTAAAACTTAAATGTCACTTATCTATTTTCAAATATGACCAACAATTACAAGTGTAAAATATTTAATGCTACTTGATAAATTGCAAAGTTTATTTTATTTTCAAACTTATTAACAATTATGTTAATTCATGTTTAGTAATAATGTTCACTACTTAGGGATCTATTTTAGTTTTAGGATGTATTGGAAAAGGGAAATTCAGGCATAGATAATATTCCCCCCCCCCCCCCCCCCCCCCCCCCCCCCCCCCCCCCCCCCCCCCCCCCCCCCCCCCCCCCCCCCCCCCCCCCCCCCCCCCCCCCCCCCCCCCCCCCCCCCCCCCCGTCTATCTTCAATTGAATTTATTCAGTTCCCATTTGCTCATAGGTCCTTAATTTTTTTTATTAATGGTCCTTAAAAGTCCTTAATTTCCGTGTGCAAAAATGTGTATGAACCCTGAAAACAATTAAATCTTAGTTATTTACTATTATATTCCTTTCTTGCGTTAGGATTGCTACAATTATTTTTGGCAGCACTGGCATCAGCAATAGTTTGGCGATTTTTACGGTTCTCAAATTCGAATAGTACCTATTTTTCTTGTAAATAAATTTTGTTGTATTTTTTGAAAGCCCCTTTGGTGCACCATTAGATGCAAAACTGCATTTAAAACCACCATACTACAGATTTTGAGTAGTGGGTGGTAGTTATGAGTAGTTCATAATTACATATATTTCCTTCATATGTTTATGGCTTATTTGTGTCCTGAATAAAATTCCCACATATAATTCAGGCTTATCTGAATAACAGATTGGTTATTTTTAATTCAAACAGCAGTAGATGTAATCTTTTGGTCTATGAATGTCATTTACAAAATATGTTTTTTGTATATGAATTGAAATTTCTGTTAAATTTTTCTTCATCAACGCAGTTGGGTGAAATCTGCAATCATTGCCAAACATAATGTGAATTGTAAAGATTACCATGCTGTTTGGAATTTAATTATTAATATTTTTTAAAAATGTTTTATATATCACTGCATGAGTCATTTCTCAAGTTATCGTGAGTTGATAGCCACACAGTGATGAAAGCAAAAAATAATACAAAATGGTTGCCAGATTGGCACCAGGGATATAAGTTATTGAATGTGTAAAATCGTGAATGAATTTTCGTAGAATATTTTGGTTTGAGATGTATGCTAAGCAAAAAGGTGGGTACAGTTCCAAATTATTGATTAATATAGATTTAAGCTAATAAATGATTATGTTTCTTCAGCATGGGGTGATTTATTAGTTCTGAACGGAAATTAAGAATGATGACTTTTCACATGCTTTATTATGAAAAAATGTCTACTGTGCATAAGTAAAGAATTAAGCATTTACTAAAGCACATACTAAAGTGAGAAGCTTCTTTTAGAATCTAATTCTTCCTCCCGTTTTGCAAACAAAAAATCTAAAAAGGATTGCTGGTGGTTCGGGTTGATCGTTTTGGTTATTAAACATCCCGATTTCAAGCTTTGTATTGTACTTTTTTTTTTTTTTCAGACATTGCAGTTAGTTAAAAAAAAAAAGCAAAATATAAAATTTTATCTGCAGTATATAATACATTTAGCTTGTTGATATGTATTATAATTAATATACATATTTTATTTTACTTTTATCTTTTGAAAGGTTGATATGAACAAGATCAATTTAGATGTTGTTAAACCTTGGATAGCCAAAAGAATTACTGATATGTTAGGAGGAATAGAAGATGATGTTGTTGTTGAGTTTGTATTTAATCAACTTGAAGCTGAAAAGGTAAGTGCATGCTAAAATTAAATACAGATTTTGCGACTTGCCATGAAGTACATTCATTGATGCAAAAATCTTTTCTAGTACCCAGATGCAAGGATGATGCAGATCAACTTGACTGGCTTTTTGAATGGAAAAAATGCCCGAGACTTTATGGCTGAACTTTGGGCATTACTTATTAGTGCAGAAGATAGTGCTGATGGTATTCCTGCAGCTATATTAGAACAAAAGAAAGATGAAATTAAAAAAAGAATGGTAAGTAGTTAATGGTACATGTGAGTTATTTGTACCTGAGAGCAATCGTGGGTGCCAGAGAGGATAATTTGATTGTAGATATCTGACTTTTTCACAAATTCTGCCTGTGTCAGTGATGTCCTTAGCCTTTGGTATGTATCAGAAGAACAATTAGTTGTTTAATTTTGGTTCTTGATACCATAGTAGATGAGATATCAAGCTATAGACTTAAAAATGACGAGTTCAAAATACAGCCCAGCAGATTAACATTATCTTCCTTGATATAATCAGTTTTTATTTTGAAGGATCTTGGCTGTATCATTCAGTAATTAAAATGGGTGAAAAATTGTCAACCAAGCAACTACCCCAGTAACCAGTACCAATAAAATTGGTGTAGTTAAAAAATCTCAATGTCTGCTGTAGCTCCCAGTTCCAAAACCCACAACCATCCAGTTTTCGAATTTTTTAGGCTGTTCTGTGCAAAATTATTAATTAAAAATTGATTGATCTGTGTATGATCTGATAGTAATTTTGTACTGATGATTAATAAAACATCGCTATGTCAGATTGCAGATAACATTGCACCAACACTAAATGTGAATAAACATATACCTGCACGATAGCCCTCTACCCAGAAGATTTGATTCTAGAGCAATAAAATGATCAATCTCTTTTTAATTTTTTTTTCTTATAAATATGAGAAAGTTCTCTTAATGATAGCAAAATTAAGCATTCTGATTCTATACTTATCTTGGTATTTGAGTCCATGTAATACAGTGACAATTAATTAATACAGACAGTGTTATTTTACATGACGGTGACATTTTATGTGACAGAGATCATATAAAGGCAATGCAGGAAGTATATTACATGTAAAAACTCAGTCAGATTTAAAAAAAAAAAAAAAAATGCATACAATCAAATCAAATCATTATAATTCTGATATTGTATGTCACTTTGCACTAGACATACTAAGTACCGAACTGCCTGAAAATAATTTAAATTATAACAATTCATATTGCCTGATATGCTTCCCACAAAATTGTATGTGTGAGCAGAAAATCTCATAATTTGTTTTGAGAAAGTAAATTTAAGTTATTGTAGTCACCCCTGAGATTATTTTACTACATTTGAAAGCATGTAAATTGTATTTAGTTTTTATATTTTATTTTAAAACTGTTTCCTTACTATTAATGTAAAGAGCTTTTCTGTCTTTACCACATTTTAAAAATTAATTCCCGACTTTTAGTATTTTTTTTTCAAAAGACACTAATAAATACAAAAACTGTGGGAAAATTTCATCATATTGCAGTATTTTATATCTATAGTTAAGTATGTACCCAAAATGCATTTTCTTTAATGTATATTAATTTTTAGGAAGAACATGATAGAATATCTTCAAATTTAAAGAAATATGAAGAAAAGTCAAAGAAGCGAGAACGTAGGTCCCGTCGTAGTAGCTCTTCCTCATCTTCCTCCTCTTCCGAGCATGCAAGAAGGAAAAAAAAATCTACTGATAAGTAAGCACTTCATTGTAGAGGAATGGAGAATTATCAGATATTAGTTGTATACCAAAGTAAAATTTTCTGTTTTATTTCCAATTTTTCTTTTTTATGTATTTAAACTTTTTTGGTACTTATGTATTGTCTCTTTCACAGTGTGATTTAGTGCCAATTATACACTGGTTATCATAAATTAAGGAAAAATCATAAAAATCACGATTATTGAAAAAGGTACATGTAGAATTTAATGAAACTTACTCACACTATACAACACATAGTAAGGTATCAAATAACATAAAAAGAAGTTACCATACAAATATGGTAGTATAGAAATTAGCACATGTATAAAATGAACAAATTGAAGGTGTCAGTTTGCTATAGGAAAAGTACCTTCAATATGGAATATGATCGCCTCTAGAAGCAATACAGCACATACAGCATTGTGTGATGCTTTCAGTTATGCGGTCTATCAGTTCCATAGGAAGCGAGAGCCATTGCTCTTGCAAAGCAGTTGCAAGCAGGACAAGGTTTTGAGGGGTCGGATTGAGAGCAGCTAGACGTTTCCCTAAAGTATCCCAAACGTGCTCGATAGGATTCAAGTCCGGGGATCGAGCTGGCCATTCCATGCGCATAATTGTTTCCTGTGGAAGATAATCATTTACGATGCGAGCCCTGTGTGGTCTTGCATTGTCGTCCTGTAACAGGAAAGCATCACCTATTGCCTCGGCATATGGGCACACATAAGCATCAAGGATGTCATCTCTATAAATCTGAGCATTCATGGTTCCCCTTGGAAAGACATGGAAGTCTGTGCATCCATCCAAAGAGATGCCACACCAAACACAGACACTGCCCCTTCCGTATGCATCTCTTTCACGGATGTTTGACGGATGATGACGGGTTCTAGGTTCTCTCCATATCAAATAACGGCTACTATCATTTTCTAGACTAAACCTGGATTCATCCATAAAGAGAACTGCCCTCCATTGATCAGGCGTCCAGTGGACATGTTGTCGTGCCCACTGAAAACAGTCCCTCCTGGGGCGTGACGTGAGTGTCACACAAATGGCTGGTCGCCTCGCATATATACCACCTACGTGAAGTGTTCTACGCACAGTTGACGATGATACGAACCTTCCGGTGGTTGCAGCAAGGGAGGATCTAAGAAGAGTCTGAGTAGTGGTTCTATTCCTGCGTGCATATAATTTCAAATATCGGTCATCGGCACTCGTGGTAGCAGTTGGCTGTCCTTGGCTGAACCTCCTAAATGCCGAATCTGTGGTTTGAAATTGCCTCCAAAGTCTATGAACCACAGAAAGATTCGCGTTTAGCCATCTGGCCACTTGTCTTTGACTTTGTTCTGCCTCTAGTCTCCCAATGGCTCTCTATCGCAGTTATGCAGGCAAATGATGCCTGGAGGTCATTGTTACGAATTGGCTATCTCAGATTTCTGATGTCACTGTCACAGTGAAATATGTGGGCTTGCTCTCAAACATGGACTTTTATGCTCCTCGCAGATGACGTATTCTGAAAGCAGTGCCACTAATTTGCATATCGCAGTTTTACTCAGCAACTCTTACTTGGCAACACATTCAAATTTTACACGGTTTGGCTTATTTTTGAGGGAATTATTGTTATTTTGGTGATTTTTCCTTAGTTTATGATAACCAGTGTAGTTAAGTCAATGACTACGTTTGAGCATATATATATATATATCCTTATTATTATTGTTATTGCTTATTCAAATCCGAGGTAAAATGTCCCTTGGAAGAATGATATAAGATCTTCCGCAGTTATCAGTAAATCAAAACCTGTTCTCATATATTGTTTGGGGAAGAGGAAAAGAAAGAAAGAAAAAGACTTGTAGACCACTCAAAGCTGTTCTCTTGCAGAGTTAGTTAGGCAAGTGATCTTGTAGAACTCTGTTTGTAATTTATTGCTATTCTTCCTGGCATTCAAAAATTGCAGGACATGTAAATATGGAAGTATGTTTATTTTTTTTAAATGTATTCAAATTGCTGATTTTTATGTGGAATAATTTCTTTTAGTAGCTTATTTAACTTCACCCTTTTGAGCATTACAACAAATTTTTCCTAATTATATCAATTTTATATTTATGTGTGCCTCACATTTTGCATTATTAAAGTAAGAATGATAGAAATTTATGAAACTTAGCTTATTCTGTACTTCCTTTAAAACAAGGGCATACCAGGCATTTTTGCCACCATTCTGGTGCATTTTGACATATTTCTTTTCCTATCACTCCATACTCAGTGCTAGAGAAATGGTGTTGTTAGGAATAGTATAGCTATAAGAATTTGATGCTAAAAGAAACATTGTCTAATTTAAAAAAAAAAAAAAAAAAAAATCACTGCGTGTTAAGAACATGTTCTATGTTGTTGCTTTTCTTTTTGTGAATAAATATTCACCTGTTTTTACAAATTTGTTGCATCTATTAATTTTAGATTTAGGAGGAGACAACAAGGAATTGGCAAATATCTTTATGTAATTATTCCTATCACCATTGTGTTAAAATTCATTTAAGCAAGCTTTGTATTGAATATCAGTAATTGTAACAGACCTGGGGCAAATAGTAACAAGAGTATAGATTAATTATCAAGTATTTGATCATTTTTCTTTCTGCAAGGAAGTTCCTCATGGTTTTAGTACAATGAGTACTAGTAGAATCCCATAGTAGCATATCTCTGTGGCCACCTTGCAAAACAAGTGGTAGAAATAAATTGACCCACTGTCTTATGGCTGCTTGTATGCATCATGCTTCTTCAGTCTTAAGAACATTAAGTACCTGAAACACGTTCCTATTGATCTTTTGGTTAATACCAAGTCATAAAATCCACTGTAGTTAAGAAAAGGTGTGAGTAAATGATAAATACATTCCTTTTCATCTCATAAATACCTGAAACAGGATTTCCTCTTTCTTGCTCTTAGAGATGATGAAAGTCTTTCTATCGATTCCTTGCCCTCAGAGATGATTAGAGGGGGAGGGTCTTTCCATTGAGACAAATTGCCAAATTACATGTAATGCATGCACTTTCAGAATCAGTAGAGAGGGAGTGTATATTGCAGAGGTGCCGCACTGACCAATGTTAGTTTTAGACCCTTGATCCATGCACACTGCAGTTTCACCCATATTAATCATGTTCGAGAGTCAATGAAACATTAGAATACCAAGTGCGCATTTAGTCACTTCATCAGTATCTTTGAATTTGAACAGTGTTGTTGATCTTCTCAGAAACAGTTCATATTACTAAAGGAAGCCATCCACCCAGTGTTATGATGTGCTTTGAATTCATCTTGTGATATGTCTAGCTGTGATACTATTGCAAGAGGAAATGCTTGAATATTAGCCCTGTGAACAACCCAACATGTTGCTCTTCTGTCAGTAATCCATTCGTAGATGATGTGTTCCTACTCAGGAAATAATGGTTGAAAATCTGATCTCTACATATTTTTAATTTTCCTCGTTGATCTGTTAACTGAGCTTTTTGCACTGATCGCCATTTTCGGACCATTTGTAGATCTAGTTGCTTCTCTTTGCAGAAAGCTGTAAGATTTTTACTTCTGGAGTCTTCCACAATTCTTTTCTTATACTCAACAGAATAGCTCTTTCTTTCTGCACTCATTTTATCTAAGCATCAATATTTAATACCCTTTAGATTTATTATTAAATCAAGTGTGAAACGTCTGTTGCTAATGCAATATATTGAATACTGAAGATTCTAATTTGTTGCAAATTCACTATTTGTTTCAAATGTGCATTTGTGTTGCATCTGCACTTGTCATTCGACAGTAAGGTTCCTGTCTGGCTGACAATCTTAACTAGAGCTTATTTTAGGGGTAGGGCTTATATTAGGACTCTCCTGAAATCTCGTGCTATGCCTTATTTTTTGATTAGGTCTCTTTTGGGGAAAATGCATTGTTTATTAGCATAATTAAATGAGCCCTGAAGTAATTACTTCAAGCCTTAAACTGAATGATCTGATTAGGATTCCTAAAAAAAAAAAAAAAAAACATGCTAGGGCTTATTTTTTTGATTAGGTCTTTTTTAGGGGAAATGGTAATATTTATTAGTATAATTAAATGAGCCCTAAAATAATTATTTTCAGCCTTAAACTGAATGATTTGATTTTGGATTTTTCTCCAAAAAATTGATTATTTGTATTTATTTTTGAATTTTCATGTATATAAAGGAAACTTGTACAAAGAACACATTTAGTTTTGATAAGCGAACTGACAAGGATGTTCTATCGAAGTAACTCAAGGACATTCGAGATTACATGCGAGAAATATCGTTGGAAGAATTTTGAGATTTCAGGCCAGCACATTTTAAAAATTTTCACTCTTTCTGGTTACTGAAAAAATCAAGTTTTTAAAAATAAAAGTTTTTTTTTTTTACTTAAAGCAAAAAGGTGTTATAATTTTTATAATTTTAAATATTTCTATTAGGTCTGATGTATCTTCCAAAAAAAGCGTCAGTAGTGATAAAGAAAATTCCAAAAGCTCTAGGAAGAAGCGTTCGGAATCTAAATCAGTTTCTCCAGTTAGGCATGGAAAAAAGAAAGACAGGTGAGAAAGTTTGACAAATTATTTAATTCATCCTAAAATGTTGGATGATGTTTATGATTCTAAGCAAGTTGAATATCAATATCTTATCCTATTTTAATAATAGTATGCTAATTCATACTTTGGTTACAGCTGTTCGTACATTGTCTATAACTTTTAATCGTTTTGTAGAAAATATCTTATTTTTAGAAGTATGTAATAAAGTGTATGTTATAAACATGACTATTTTAAAAATTGATTTGTATCAAAATTTCTGAAGGTATTTATATGATACTGGTACTGTATTGAAAGATTATATCAGTTAATAACACATTGTCATTAGGTAACATATATCAAGAATTTCATTTGATTGATGTAATTGATTTAGGCTAGGGACAGGAAAGTTTTAAATTCAGATCAATCTTTGTAACGTGTACTGTAAAGTTTAATCTTTGATCATTCAAAAAGGAATGGTAGCAGATTGAGACAGCAATGAAATTTTTTGCTTAGTCAGATGTTTTGAAGTGTATCTTGCATTTGTGATGTAAGAGTCTATGTTGTCAAAAACAACTCTGGAAATTATTTTAAAAAAAAAGATGGACTTTCATTGTATTTCTTGTAAGTAAAAATCTGAAGACAGTATTTTTATCATAACCTATGGGCGTAATCAACATTCCTTTAAATACATGCAGACTAAAGCAAGGGAAGCACAACCGGTGCATTCGCACTGGAATTTAGCAAGCTCAGATGTTGCTCAAGGCTGCAAAAAACCTTGCATTGGCACTGCTTAGAACTATACTATATGGTGGTTGCTGATCTGGATAGAGTTAAATCCATTATTGAATTTTGTTCAGCTGCATATCAAGTAAAATGTAAATCTCATCAGATAGACATCTCATATGAATCAGGATATTTAGTATACAAAGACTGATTTTACATGGAATCACATGATAATTGTGATTGATCTGGTGTCAGGCCATAAAGTACCTGCATTTCAACATTCATTTTGCGCAACTTTAAATTATTTTTGAAAATTGATTGAACAGCAGTTGATTTTTGAATAGCCAAATGGGAGGAGGGAGAACATTGACACTAGTGTTTTGGTTTATCCATTTTAACTCTCTCAACTTATTCCAGTCTTGAATAAAGGTCTGAAACATTGTCTTTAATCTGACATGACATATCTTCTTACCAATGATTTCACCTAGTTTTACACTTGATATTTTATATGCATTATTTATAATGCTTTCTTGAATTGACTTTCAGCTATATTTGCAATTCTGTCCAGTAAATACCACAGATTTAAAAAAAATACATCACTAGTGTCATTAACTTAATGAATTAAATTAATTTTTAATATACATGCATCATTTGTCATATCTTCTTATTTATGATTACATGTCATATCTTTTTACAAATGATTTCACCTAGTTTTTGACTTATTATTTTATATGCATTAATTATAATGCTTTCTTGAGTTGACTTTCAGCTATATTTGCAATCCTGTCAGTAAATATCACAGACTTGAAAAAAATACATCATCAGTGGCATTAACTTGATGAATTAAATTAATTATCCTTTGAATCTATTAATAAATTTTAAGTGTTAGTTGCATTAAAATAAATATTATATTTCATAGTGTCCCCCCCCCTCCCCCGGCAGGCCCAAAAAAATTGAACAAAGCAGGAATGTGAAAAAGTATGTTGGTGACCTAGTAGATTTGAGAGGAATTTCAAAAATGCTCAAAATGTTGTCTTATAGTATTAAAATAGAAATTCTGAAATGTATCAAATTATTACTATTAAAAAATATATATGTTTTACCTATAGTACAACTGTACTTGCACATCCGTATCCTAAATTCTGTATATTTATATTTGAAGAAATACTTTGGATAATTTAAAATTTTTCTATGTCTTAGTTTGTGGAGAGTATTGTATGAAATAAATATCTAGTACTATTATCATGAAAACATTAGAAATTTCAATTGCATATTTTGTTAAGGTTTGGGTACAATGTGCAAATATTGCAAAATGTAAATTGAAGTTTTATAGATTGCTTAATCAGTATTTAATAGAAAAATTTAAAGTATTACATTTTATTTAAGTGTGTTAGAACCTATCAATGAAGTTTGTTTTGTTATTTAGGAAACTTGAAAATAGAAGTATTTTCACACTACTTTTGCAGTAATATTAAAAATCTGATCATCAGTTAAAATAAATTATGTTGTGCATGAATAATTCTGTAATCTGTTCTTTTACTAGCCATCGTATAAAATTTTTTCACAGTAGACAAAAAGCGTGCATGTAACTGATGATGATGTCTTCATACTTAATTTATGAAGCAAACAATTTCCTAGGAATTTCTTTTTGAAAAGTATGTTGTGTATAATAGTGTAAAATTAATTATTGGGCATTCATGAATATATGCCTAAAAATGAAAATATTCATTTATGTCATTACTTGTTGAAAGTTTTTACATTTGCAGTCATCTTCTCCCCGCTTTCTGTTTTATATTCCTTGTCAGGTGTTATTGATTTCACTATGTTATTTTTATGCCCTTGCAAAATAGAAATGGTTATCTCTTCACATGTTGCAGGTTGCTGCAAGTCTAATGCGCAAGCAGCAGTTCAGTGGAGGGGGGGATCAATGGTTAATTATATAGTAAATAAAACCTATGTATAGTACGTGCATTCATGGATTGATGCATGTACAGAGGCTGTTCACACATTTTTTAGACGATGTATATTGTATTCACAAAACTAAATTACATAAAATTCTTGTGTTTTAAATGTTCTATTTGACATCCCTTATTCTGAACTATCTTTCGACACCGCAATTTCCAGCATAATAATGCCTTTTGAAGTGGCAGAAGAGATATTATATCCCATTCCTCCCGAACAGCTTTCCAGAGTCCTGTTAGGGTTTAGGGACAACGTTTGGATAATACAATTTTTAAAAGTCCGAAAGCACAAAAATCCATAGGTGACACATCGGGAGATTTAGTAAGGATATCAGTGAAGGGTGTGGCCTTGATACCAGTTTTTTTGTTCCATTTCTTTTAGGAAATTTACAGTGGATTTTGATGTGTGACTGCTAGCTTTGTCCTGATGGAGTGTCACAGATTGATGGCACTGTGAGTAAAACGATGGTATTTCATTCAGAAAAATTGGCGATAAAATATGTTCCTGATAGTATTTGGAGTTAATCTTGACATTTTTTTGCACTCTCTTTATTTTTAACTTGGCATTATAAGAAAAACCAGCAACAATCATGAATCCCTTAGAAAAACTTCCTTTCAATTCTTTGAAGCATGTACTTAAATTTTTTTTTCTCCTCTTTTATGATAATAAATGGCTCTTTCTTTGTTACAATCATTTAAATACACCCATGCTTCATCTATTGTGATAATTGTTTTCCATTTTTCTTTGGATAAGTGTTTCTCATATAGAATTCTGCAACGTGTCCTGCGTTGAACGATATGCTTTGGAAGAAGACGATGCACATTGCGTTTTTTCGTTTTCTCAAGATTTAAATCAACGTTTATCATTTTGTTTACAGTGGACACCGAGTATTTTAATGATTTTGCAACTGTCCTTTGACTAGGGGGACTTTCTTTTAACATTAAACAATGTACCTTTGCAGTAGTCGAAGATGTCTGTTTTTTCCTTGGATACTTGTTTGGAATTTTTGTCCCACTTGAGGCTCCAATTTGACGTTTTTTTCCTTTCTTGTTGATGATATTACCTATTGATGCTTTAGATATCACAAAACCATGACTCTCACAGCGTTTTTGGATAACGGAGTATGCATATTTCTTTTCTGAAAGAGCTTAAATGTAGCCTTCGAACCACTGCTTTGTTAAATTCGCCATTTTGAATAAAAACAAAACTTTCAAGCCACAGACGATAATTTTGACTTTTAAAAACATAGTACAATTACTTCTTTTACAGCAAACGATTTTTTATTACCGCTTACCAAAATCATCTAAAAAATGTGCGAACAGCCTCTGTATATTAAAAAATATGTCAAAAACAGGGCCATTGTTTCTTCCATGAACATCACAAAATGTTCATTGCATTTCTGTATTTGCTATGCATTGTGAAGTTAGTACAGGTTTGCAGTCTTAATTATATTAATGAAAAAGTAAAATACTTATGTACTTTCAAAAATGGTGTACAGAGTACTGTTACTTTATCTAGGGAAGGTAATAGTTTTACATGGTGAAATTGCCAATACATTGCCCATTTCGTGAATTGGCAAAAACTGTTTGATTTATTTTATGGCTCATAGATATTGTTTTAATCATAAATAATAATAATGAAAATAACATATGAGAAAAAAAAATTGTAAGGCATTTTTTACATCTTTTAAAACCGGGTGATACTCATTGTATAAATAGTTAATTTTATAATAAAAAAACCTATGTATAGTACTTGCATTCATGGATTGATGCATGTATATTAAGATATGTCAAAAGCATGACCATTGTTCCTTCCATAATCTATGTACTCCCCCGCCTTAACTTCCTTAGCAGGTCTGTCAGATCACTGTGATATATATATATATACATTACAAAAGTATTTTTGGCTGTGTACCAGCACTAGCTTCCAGCTTATTTGGAATGGAATGACTGCTGAAATATAGTGCTTTTCTGTTTTCTTAATAAACACTGTATTTACAATAAACTGGCTGGTGAATTTATATTATAGTCTAAAAGCACTATATTAAAAGAAATACATAGCTAAAATGTATTGGCAGGCCACATAAAATTGTTTCACACAAGTTTGAGACATCTGTAATAAAGCATGTTAAGCTTAGGCATCATGATCAGTCCCCAGATTGTTCCTTTTCATCACAGAGTGATGTTTCTTATGTTATCTTTTGGTATTTAAAGGTTTTCAGCTGGATATGGTTGTTATCTTTAAAATGTGATACTAATCAAACATAAATACAGCAGATATAGAAACCCTGAGATTAAAACGGGAAAACCATGAGATCAATTTGGTATCAAACATATTTCTATATTTTATTAATGTTTCATTATGCCATATTTGGATGTGTGATTCTGTAATGAATTATTTTTCTTCAACGATATGTAGCTTATTTTACATGACTTTAGTAAAGAAAATTGCATTAAGGTTGAGAATGTACATGATTTTATAGAAATAAAATAACTTAGTGACTTATTTAATAATACTAAATAGTATGATATACAAAGTTGCGAAGTAAAAATATAATTTGAAATTCTTACTGTTGTTTTAGATTTTGATAATATATCAATATTTTTAATTTCTATGATAGTTAGAATAAATATAAAAAAAGAGTGTGTCATGATTTTTTAATATCATGCATTAATTTTGTAACATTAAAAGTTTAATTTAGTTTTGCAGTTGAAGGTGCAAATTGAAACACAGAGTTTTACTACAGTAAAATTTCATCAAATTATGTAAGGTACATTAAATACATATATTTGATGGTCAGATTTATTGGTAGTGTGAAAATGCTACTCTCCTTCTCTTAAGCACTATTTGCAAATTGTACCGTGAATCTTATTTTTGTAAGGCAGAGACCAGAATGCCATTTCCTGAAGTGCCTAAACCACCTGCAGGTCACATTCCCATTCTCCTCGAAGGAGTCGATCTGTGGAACAGAACAAGTCGCCATATAGAAATCATTCATCTCCCCGAAAGAGCAAATCTCCTCGACAAGTTCTTTCTCCTGGTGCTGATAACAAGAAAGCATCACCTAGAACAAGAAGCAAATCCCCCCCAAAGAGCAAGTCCTCATCACCTGCCAGAGAAAAATCACCCCAGCAAAGTAAATCTCCATCACCCATTAGAAGAAAATCGCCCAGGAAAAGCAGATCTCCAGCTTCAAAAGAAAGGAAGAGGTCTCCAAAGAAAAAGAGCTCCCCTCGTCGAAGTCATACACCACAGCGTTCTAAGTCTCGCCACAGCAGAAGCCCCCGCAGAAGTCGTTCACCTGTTAGAAAAAGACCTTCTCCACGACGATCTCCCAGTAATCGATGGAAGCATTCTCCAAGACGCAGCAGATCGCCAGGAAGAAGGAGCCGTACACCTCCTCCTAAAAGGCATAGATCATCACCACGTCGTAGTCGAACACCACCTCCTCAACGTAATCGACCTTCTAGGCGCAGCAGGTCTCGCTCAAGATCTCCTGTCAGGAGGCATTCTCCCTCTCCTCATAGGCGGAGCCCTCCAAGAAAGCATCCTCGCCAGAAGTCTCCACCTGTTAATAGCAGACGTACTCCAACACGACGTCGTTCTTCGCCACCAAGGTAGTATATTCTGTTTTACCTGGCATTTTTTTCAAAACTTATTTAAATCTAAATTTTTTCCTCTTTAGGAATAGATATTAAAAATATATATGTGATAATTAGTTTTGGGATAGGAAAGAGAAGTCATAGGTAATCATTGTATAAAACCTGAAAAACAAACAGATTTGTTAGTTGTTTTGAAATTGGAAGAAGTTTCTAGGGTAGGAAGAAAATAAATAGTAATAATAATAAACAGAATTAAGAAGTTAAGCTTTTATATAAGTGAAACTTCTCATAAGTTAAGATTAAATATGTTGCAATATTCTTATTTATATTTTTTGATTTAGGGTTATAGTTGATGCTGTGAAACTTTCATTTCTATCCATTAGTTTTCTTTTTATGTTAACATACTTAGCAAAAGTGTTTGCCCATTTGGCAGTGAAGTGGCTAGTTTGTGACACATTTTCTTATTCAATAAGCTTGAATTGTATTTGATTAAATCATAATTTTTAAAAATTAGGTGGTATTTAATTTGGCATACATTTTGAATATTAAAACTGCTTAACATTTTTGAAGAGTTGCATAAAATCTGTATAAGTAACACAATACCAAAGGCCATTTCAGATCTTACCTGCATGATTGCACTTCGTGAGTTATGTGAGGAATAGAGAGTTGAGTATAATCATATGATATGACTTTGTGTTCCGTATACAACTGAGTAGTACTTTTGTTCAGCTCTTTTTGGGTCTAGACTTTTGTTCTGTAAAGTGAATCGTGAAGCGAGATGAAACGGAGCTCAGATAGCTGCATTGTATGTGAATAATATCAATAAAGTTTGTGATTCTCAAGACCACTTGAAAACCAGTTGTTTTTGAAACTGGAATCTCTTTCTCTTCAAGAAATTTATTTTATTCTAGCTGAGCAACTTGGTAAATGCAAAATATATCTGCATCTATCTGTTCCTCTACTCGGACCAGTTTGAATTTTATATATACTGTGGATGTTGCATTTGCTGTTTTTTAAATGCATTGTTATAAAAATTTCTTGACTTCTCTGAAATTTTTTTACATGCTTTTAGAAAATCTCGTTCTTCATCTGGATCTTCCTCAGGATCTTCTGCTTCTTCTGCATCTGTTTCTCCTCAGCCATCTAAAAGAATTAAGAGAAGATCTTCATCTGAAATGGATCGCCATGTAGATGTATCCAAAAAAGTGGTAAGAAAAATCATTTAAGATGCTGTATGTGTATGCATATGTAGAAAGAGAAAGAAAAGTTAAAATAAAAAATTACTTTAATAACAATCCTGAATGTGGACAAAATCTAAAAAATTGGTTGAAGATTAACTAACATTATAATTAGCACATTGAGTGATTTGCATTTCAGTGAAGGTAAAAACCGAGCAGCAAATTAAGAAAACTCATGAAGCAAAAGTAAAAATAATCTCCAAAAAGTTAGATACCCAATAAAATAGAAAGAAAAGGTAAAGTCTGCATCTAGAATAAGATCTTTTGAAATGTTTTAAATAAGTGAAGAATGTTTAAAATCCTACTAAAAAGAGTATATAAAGAAACAGCTTTTGAAACATTAGATTTTTTGAAAAGTTTTAAGCATAAATTTGTATATTTGACTAATTTTTCTTAATAATTTTCTCATTTTTATATGAAAAGTTTATCTCTATGTATCTATTTTTTATCGGAATTCTTTTTAGGAGAAGGCCTTTGAAATAGTACCTAAAAAAAACTCTGTTCAGAAGACAAGGCATTATAGATCACATGGGCGCGCTTCTGAGTCAAGTTCTGAAGATGAATCCCCAGTGAGAAAAGCATTGGAGGGGAAAGGTAGAAAGGTTTCTAAAAAGGTAAATTTTCAGAAGCAAAAAATCTCATAAAATGTTTTATTGTGAATATTAATTTTTTCGAATAAATTTGCACTTGTTGATTTTAATTTGTTCATTATTGAAAAGTTCTTCGTTAACCCTTTCCCTTCCTTGGTGCCCTTTGTGGATCATTAATGTTTTTATTGTTGCTCATCCCCAATTTCCTATTTTTTTATTTATTTATAAACCTATGTGTGGTCACATAAGTCTTCTCTTAATGTATAACTTGTTGAAGACCTTAAACTTCTTAGTGAGATTTAAGTATATGCATGTATGTGTGGCAGATTTTTCAAAATTTGCTTATAAGTGACATTTTTCTGCATTTGGGTACTTGATAAGTGAGTATCTAATAATTTATATTGAATTATTTTTTCTTATGGAGGTTATATGTTGTAGGATTCTAAAGTTCCTGGTCTGAGTCTGTAATGTAAAAATTTTTTGCAGTAGTGCGACTATGAGAACGTTTTTGTGTTATTATGTTCTCCCCTTTTTCTAAAAGTGGTTTGCCCAAATCTCATGGCCGAAAGCTAGCGGTGACAATGTTTTTTGTAGGCAAGTGCATTTAGTAACCAGCGACAAAAAGAAATGGCGTCAGTTGAGCAGAGAATCAGATCAAATTTTGCATTTGCTTGAGAAAGATTGCTACAAACAGTTTCGAACTGTTGAAGCATGTGTACGGAAGTGCAAGGTTATCAAGAACGCAAGCTTTCGAGTGGCAGTGTCGTTTCAGAGAAATCGGGGAAAGTGCCAAAGATGATGAACATTGTGGCCGTCTCGTGACTTCGCACACTGAGGAAAACATCAAAATGGTGTCTCTGGTGATATGTGTGAACAGGCAGCAAACAATTTGCCAAATAGCAGAATCAGTTGGGATATCGGAGGCCACATGTCAGTGGATACTGACTAAGGTATTTTCCCCCCTTTTCAAAGCTGAAAGCTTGGTGTGAAATACCAAGTTTGATGTCCCTGGACTTATCACTTTCAAAGGTCTTTGTCTTTCCAGTTTTCTCTATCATTCCCTTTTCATTCTTGCAGGTTCAGAGTTCAAAGGAACCTCATTCATAAATCATAAAGTCTTACGTATCTTTGAAATATTATTTATCTTTCGGAGATTTCTGGGAGTTATTTTGCTTAATTTTATAGCAATATATTGAAATGAAAAAGAATGCTGACCAAAAAGAAATACAGAAGTGTGTGGAATCTTAAATTATGTAACATCATAAAACGCAGAATCATAATACTAGGATTGGAGATAGCAACTATCTATCTTGTATTTTCTTCCCATCATTTCAAAAACTATATACATAACACAGTTTTCCCCTTTTAATTTGAAATTTGTTTGCTATAAAAATTTTGCAATACGAAATAGACAAACAATGTATAGAACATCATATTTAAACTAAAGGCTGCCTAATTATGTTTTCATGCAGCTATTTAACATTTATTTAGATGTAAAATTTTAACTTTTTTTCAATTTAAACTTTAATAAGTTTTTAATCATTTATGTATCATTAATTTTTTATTTTTTAAACCACACCTTCCATGGAAAAAATTTTAATAAATGGATAATTTCAATTAGCTGTACAGCAAGACAAGTATTACAGGGAAATATGATAGTAAGTAATGTTTCTGTGTACTGCAACATTTATATGATGTTCCTTCGTTTATGTAGCCATGAATGTTCGTAAATTTAAGGAAATAAGTTTAAGAAATTTCGGAAAAAAATTCAGATGCAATTAAAAAAACCAAATGGAAACTTGATAAATAAATAAAAATAATTTAAAAAAAAAACTAAAATATTTATAAAATATCAAATATGGACTTTAAAATATAGTGGAATTAATTTTTGTTATAACTTTGTAAAGGCTTTTAATTAGGAAAGATTTAAAAAAAAAAATTGCATAAAATCTTGGAACTTTTTTTTTTAAAAAAAGGTATATGCTATAATATGAAGAAATAGAATGAAATTTTCTGTAATAGAAATATAAATGTTTATCCATGTATCGGGTTCACCGGTAACCGAGCAGTAAAGTCACTGAACACTGGTAATTTTTTCTGCGGTTCGAATCCCAGTGAATGGGCTGGCTGCATGGGTGTTTTGTAGTTTAACATGTGTAATGTGCATATGAGTCAATTTTTCTTAAACCCTCCATGAAGGCATCTCCCTCCCCAGAGAGATAGCCCTCATGTGCTTTGCTGTGATTAAATAAACCAAACCAAAAGTCTGTGTTTTTCTGTGTAGTCTTATTTGGAATCAAATGCACCTTTAAATTTTCCCTCTATGAGAAAAACCATCTGACAATTTTGGCAATAATCACAATAGTTCCCTTCCTTTTTTAAAGTAAATGCACCTCCTTAGAATGACTCAAATTACCTAAAAGAGTCATTGTTGCAAACAGCAAGGGACTTCTTGAAGGGAGGAAAGCATGAGATACGTAACTTCACGTCTTTTTTAAGGATTTTACAGTCATCAAATCCCTTAACTTTTAATTTTTTATAGTAATTAGTTCTGTCTGAAATTCCTGATTTTTAAAAATATTGATGTTAAGCATTAATACATTCTCAGTTTTTCCTGTTCCATAAAGGGAAATGCCAGAAGTTCTTCATCTTCCTCATCTGGTTCATCGGAATCACATTCTGCTTCTCCTTCACCTAGAAAAGGAAGACCAAGTCCTTCATCATATAATCGCAGGTTTGTAAAAAATATTATCTGACAAATTTTTGCATAAAATTTTGAGATAATCGTCTACTAATTTATATAGATATAGTTGAAGTGGACAAACATAATGTCAGTAAGAGCAGCTTGTTGGGAAAGTTTGAGAGCCACAAAAGCTACAAGTCCATATATACATAATTTTAAAAGTAGTGAAATATATTTCAAATTAAACAAAATGTTTGATTTGACACAATCATTGAATGATAGTTTGAATTATTTTCTTTTTGGCATTGAGTAGTTTTAGTTTACCATAATTTACACATATATTTTATTTGCATACGAGCCACACCACTTGCCTGCGAGAGCCACACTATGGCCACACCTGACATCCTTTTGTTAATTTATGTCATTTATAGAAATAATATATGATGTTATATGTTAGAATTTTTCTTACGAGTTCCTGATGGAAATCAAGCTTTTGTGATATAGTTATTAAAATATAAAAATTAAAACATTTTGCTCATTTAAAACCGCAAGTTTCAAGCTGTGATGATTGTTTTCTTGGTTAAGGATGCTTTATTAATCATCATTGTAATCAATTAAAGAGTAGATAATAATAAGTGTTATAGTTTCTTATTTAATAGTCTAAGTATTCTTTTCTGAATGATTTTCTTTTTCGTTTCAATTAATTGTGATGTTGCTTTTTATGAAATCATATATTTATTCTCAGATTATTCAGGAATTGCATTATCTGGTGTTTATTCCTGTTAATTATGGTTGTTATTTTATGAAATCACATACTAGCTTTTTATTCTGTGTAGAAGTAGTCCATCTCCAAGAAGGCGAAATACACGAGCCACTCCACAATTTAGGAATAGAAGATCACCCACAGATGATCGCATGCGTCGAAGATCTTTCTCACAAGATAGGCGTTCTCCGATGCGAGATAGAGGTCGATATGAAAGAGAAAGAAATTATCGTATGGAAAGAGAGAGGGAACGAAGTTGGTATAACCGTGAAAGGAGTTTCAATGATAATAGAAATTACCGAGATAATCGAGAAAGGGAGATGGAACGTAGGGAGATGGAGCGTAGGCGAATGTCGCCCATTGATAGACGTCAGCCGGGTATGTACTGTGAAAGTAAAATATTTTATTTGTGTCCGATTCCCCCCTTCTGTCTAAAATGTTATAAGAAAAAGGGGGGAAAAAGCCTCTTAAATGCTAAGAAATGTTAGTGGAATTCTTTTATTATGCATTGCACTTAACACTGTTTTTAATAATGTTGTTTTTCACTTTTACTTTATTTGGCACATTTTTATTTTATGAAAAAAAATCTTCTATTGGTTTTCTCCCTTTTTTTCAATAGCAGTGATTAAACAACTTTAACTTCCCCTTTTAGGGATGCAAATTCCTTTATTAAATGGTTCTAAATTTAGTGATTATATACATTTTGATGAATTTAAGATCAATTTCCGTACAAAATATTTTATTCAGACATCTGTGAATTTTTTGACAGTTTTTTTTTTTTTTAAACTCTATAACATTTAACATAATAAGATAAGAAATTTCATTAAAAAAAAGGTAATATATTGAAAATATTTTTAGAAATAACATTAAAATAAATTATTTTTATTTTTCCCTGTCATATTATAAAGTGTCATTACTTTCCATTTTGGCAACTTAGTATTACAATATTTTGGATCTGAAAAATAAACAAGGTAATAAATGTTAGAAAGCTCAATTTATGAAACAATTCTCAACAAAAGCAAAATAGCTATGTAATTATTTTAAAATGTCTTTTTTATTTTTTCCATGGTAAGAGTTTTTCCCCGTGTAATTGTCTCAGAATTTTCAGAATGTGCATCAGTTTTCTCTATAAAATGCATTTGGAATTTTTTTCTCTGAATTTTTTTTCGATCACTAAATGCATCACTAAATTCTAAAAATAGTGCCACACTGGTCCTGTAATAGCCCTGATTGTTTCATATTTATTCTCAGTGTTCATATTACTTTAAAAATAAAAGTAGCAGCTTCTTTTATACATTCTAAATACATGTAATTTTTAGAATTACATAAATTTTTAAATAAATCCAAAAATTCTAAAAGGAAGAACTGCGAAAATAAACTGAATACATAAAGAGAAAGAAGTTATTCTTCAAAGATATGTACAGTTATTATTATGTAAATTAACCAGCTGTTTATAATTTCAGCCTTTACTATACCTTCTTCCTTCCATTTTCTTAACAGGATGGTAATCGGTTAGATAGTATTTAAATTGAGGTTTTGGGATTGTAAGCCGGAGAGTGATTCTGGCCTCGGCTTGCACACTACATTAGTTCCTGCCAGCTGTGATAATTTATAATTATTCAGCTTTGCATTATCAATGCTGAAATGAGTTTCTGAGCTGTTTATATTATATGAGCAAATTGACTAAAGTTGAAACCTTGGAACTTTATCCCTAAACTAGTTTTTGTGATGTGGCAAGGTCTGGTTACCTAGCAACGAGGCTTGGTTTAAACCAGATATAACATTTATACCACAGCGTGAATGGAGCCTTAAAATATGTGAACTGAGTTACAACTCCAATTCTATATAAAGCTATTATACTGTGTCAGACATATAGAGCATAACTAACTTTTAAAACTTGCTAACTGTGCCAACATCAGGCGTTTAGGTCTTTTCTGATCAGCAGGTCTCTATCTAGGCAAGCAGCAGTGGTGGCAATAGCCAGTCTTCTGTTATGGATGCTGCTGGTTATAATTTTACTTCTCATTTTAAACCTATATTGTTTGACATAAAATCTGCCTGCTATTTACTAAACCTCTAGACTGAGCAAGAATGTGACATAATGAGGCATAAAAGAAAAATTAATATAAAGCTAATTGTTAGCAAAATATAAATGAATTGTCACTAATCTTTAAAATAGTCCAACTATTATAAGTGTAAAATATTTAATACTATATTACAAATTTTTCAAAGTTGATTTTATTCTGAAATTAATTTTTTTTAATAATAGTGCATTGTACCTACAGATTTATTTTATTATGGCATTACAAAAGTTCAAGCATAGATAATATCTTTAATTGAATTTATTCAGTTCCAATTTTCTGGTCCTTAATTTTTTTCCCTTAATAGACCTTAAAAGTACTTGATTTTTATGTGCAGAAATGTGTACAAATTCTCACAATGGTATGTTTGCTTATCTGACATGTTCTTGTAATTTAATAGTGAACTACTAATCATAATGCTGATCATTTTCATAAATATGCAAGTCAGTGTGGTTTGTTCATATAGCTAATAATACTCTGGCTTATCCAGAAATGACCTTTGTTGCTATCACATAACTTGGGTTTTTTTTACTGTGGCGCTTAAATTTATAAAAGGCAGAACACAACCTGAAAACCAAATGTTGAATATTAATGTTATTCAAGGTGTTGCTTTGAATTTGATCTACAAGCACTTCTGGTAGCGTAGGCAGCACTTGATGGGAATCAGTTAAGGTTATTCGGATATTATTGTCGAATTGCGGAAGACTTCTCATTTGTATACATGGAAAATATATTTCATGTTATGATTAACATTTCAATTAATTTTATAAAAATATTGTAGAATAAATTGTTAAAACTGAAATAAATTACCAGATAAGTTCAAAATTGATAATAAGATTTTCCAGGTGACACAGAAATATCACCAAGTAAGGGATTACGTCGACAAACAGCTTGTTTTTTTATCTTAGCTAATTATAAGGAAAAACAAAAACCTTAGTTTGATGTAGGGTTTCAATAACCGTCAATTTTGAGAGCGATCAGACTTGGGTCCCTCTTCTTCAAAAATAGTAAAAGAAATTTCTGCAGAATTTTTTTTCTCTGTGCAATAAAAATTCTCTTAAAATATCTATCCTTTCTGAGGTTTTGTTTTAGCTTAATTTAAAATTTTACAATGTAAGTTAATTTCCAATGAGATATCTGACCTGAGTATTAAAATTAGGGGTACAGGCATAGTTCAAATTATGTTCATAAGTATACTTGTCATTATGGTTTTTGATGCTGAAGACATAAAAAATGTGCAGTTGCCTTGCCGGTACTTTAAACCTGGTTCTCTAAAATACACAAAGTTCATGAACACATTCGGAAAAGAGGGAAAAATACTGTATAACATTAAAGGCTTAATGAACAGTTCATTAACAAACTTGAGCACTCTCATATTTAAAATGCCATGAAAATACCTGTTATGCTTCTAGTTATATGAAATTAAATTCCATTTCTGTTTTGAGGAATATTTTTCCTCATTATTTAATGTTATCAAAATAGCCATAGACAAACATGATCATGACAAACATGAAACAGCACTTACTGTAAATTGAATTGCTTTATAGTTGATCCTCTTAAAAGGATACGACTCTTACAGATCAAAATATTAACAAAAGTGCCCTTGAGTAATTTTAAATGGTTACAAATTTGGTGACTTATCAACATTTTTGACGATTTTGAGATCAGTTTCTATAAAAAAAAAATTTCGATATTTTTTTTAAACATTATAACATTAATTTCTTAAAAATAATGCTAATATTTTTAAGAATTGTATTCAAGAAATAATATTAAAATTAAACATTTTTATTTTTCTCTGTCATATTATAAAGTGACATTACTTTCCATTTTTCAATTTATTATACAGTATTTTGAATCTGAAAAATAAACAAGGTAATAAATGCTTAAATTGTACTTTATCAGAATTTACAAAGCAATTTTTAGCAAAAGAAAAATAGTTATGTAATTAATTAAAAATGCCTTCGTTTTAATTTTTTCATGGTAATTGTCTCAGTCCCCATGTAATTGTCTTAATATGCACCACTTATCTCTATTAAATTAATTTTACACTTTTTTCCTGAATTTTGTTTTCCAACATATTTCTGGCTTTTTGTTGTTACAGAATTGGTAGGGGTAATTTTTCTTTCGGATTTTATTCCCTTTGGCAGATAGCCCTAGTGTGCTTTGCCGTAATTAAATAAACCAAACCAAACCATCTTTCGGATTTTAGATATTGCAGCTTGGAAAGATTTGAAGGCAAGATGTATAGACCCAAGAGTCTAGAAGGTTCCAGAAAAATGTCTTCATGGTATTAAGATATAATGGATGTATTTTACAGAAAGTTTGTGATTAATTTTTACTTTTTCAAAAATTTTTGGAAGAACAGTGAAAACATAATATTTGGATGTTTTACTTCTGGTACTAGAAGTATTTTTCTTAATATGTCTTTATTCCCATTGTTTTTTCTACTTTTCACTAGACACAAGCATGGAAAATATCAAAAATGCTTCTAATCTTATCAAATGGACAGGCATTTATAGAAAGGAATTTTTCTATTAAAGAAATTGAAAATGGACAATTTAAAAGATTCGTCTTATATGTCTCAATGCATCATCAGTGGCATAGCTAGGGTGAGGCATGGGGGACATCTGTCCCTGAGTGCAACATCCATGGGGTACGAAATTGGTGTCACAAAATTTTAAAATGAAATGTTTTTCATTCTTGGCATACAGAAGGAGGCGCAAAATCTTAGTTGTCCCCGGGCGCTGAAAACCTTAGCTACAGCTCTGTGCACGGCTGGCGCTACGTATTTTCTCACCTGATGCAATCTTTGTGGATCCTAAATTCTGCTACCTAGTGCCTTTCTAAACTCTAAAATTTTAGGATTTCTAGATTTTGCTGCTCGGTGTGTGACTAAATTCTAAAAATTCTGCTACACTGGCCCTTGCTGTATATAATTTCATATTTATTCTGAATTTTCATATTACTAAAGAAATAAAATTAGCACCTGTTCCTATACATTCTAAATGCATTTAGTTTTTTTTAGAATAACAGAAATCTTTAATTAAATCCAAAAAATTCTAAAGTGAACATGAAACCTATTAAAGAAAGAAACCAAATACATAACAAGAAAGAAAATTATTCTTCAAAGATATGTACAGTTATTATATAAATTAAGCAGTTGTTTATAATTTCAGCCTTTGCTATAATTTTCACTTTCCGTTTCCTCACCAAAAGGAAAAATCACTTGGATAGTTTTTAAACTAATGTTTTGGGTTAAATGTTTTAAGACAGAATTTGTTTATGGCCTCTGCTTGC